AAGATGGATATTATGTTTTGTCTAAATTTTCTCTCTAGTATAAACATCCCTAGTTCCTTTGGCTAACCATCATATGGAATGGCCCCTTGTCCTCTCACCATCTTGGCTCTATTCTTGACAATTCAACAAGCATAGTGACATACTCCAGTTTGACTATATCCTTCCTAAATCGAGTGTCTAGTACTGAACACAGTACTCCAGATGTGGTCTAAATAAGGAAGAACAAAATCACTTCTGTCACTCTAAATATTATCCCTTCCTTAAAATTGTCTGGGATAGCATTAGCTTTTTAGTGCCAGGTCATGTTGAAGTTTCACATGGGGACTGTAGTATACTAAAACACCCAGAAATTTGTCATATGAAGTTACCTGGTTATGCCTCTCCCATATTGTACTTGTGACTTTGATTAATTTTTTTGAAACCAAGTATATAGAATATACATATCTATCACCATCAAACTTTATTGTTTTAGGTTCAACCCATTGTTCAAAGATTCATAGTTTCAGAGCTAGAAGAAATCTTAGAGCTCATCTACATTTTAAATTAATAGATTTGGGGGTATAAGAGAACTTAAAAGTCATCCAGTCCAACTCTCTCATTTTACAGATGAGAAAAGAGAAACTCAAACAGATTCAGCAAATTTTCCCAAGGTCACAAAAGTACTAGTTGCAAAGTCAAGATTTGACCCCAGGCCTCCCAACTCCAAACCCAGCATCCTTTCCACTGTACCACTGTTGTAGTCTGTCAATTTATACCATTCTATTAACTGTTCTTCCCAGCTGTGTATCTTCTTCAAATTTGGCAAGCATTCCTTCATTAAAATCATTGATAAACTATCTGAGCAGCACAGGGCCAAGAATAAATCCCTGAGGTACTACACAGAGATCTCCCTCCAAACTGATATTGCTATTCTTTGGGTCCACCATGCAACCATTTCTGAATTCTTCATACTGTATCCTATCTCCTTGCCGTATATGGTACCTATCTCGTCATCTTTTCTATAATGATAGTACAGAAGACTTTGTCAAATGCTTTGTTGACAAGCCTCTCAATGTGCTTTGCTATGTCCCACATAGATGCCCTGGGAGGGCAGCAGACCTGTTAACTGCTTATGTCAAAGGTTGACAAATAGCTGCCTTTCTTCCTTCAGGAGGATTTTACAAGAAGACTTCTGGCCAAGATGACTACCTGAACAGCCAGGTTGTCCACCTCCCACATATCCACTCTAGCAAAAACCTGAAATTGCTGCCATACCACATATTAATCAAGAAATCCAATGAGACACTATAGCAAATGACTTTTTCTATCCCTTGAACTGCACAAAAGGTCAGCCAGAAGCCCAATAGACAAAGGGACCCCCTGCAAAGACAATGACAGTGTTAGCAGAGAAACCAGTAGCTTCCCTCTACAAGCGATGACTAGAAGTAGGCCAGAAACATGTATAGTCTATAAGGCTCTGTGTCTAGAGGCAGCAAGGAGGGACAGCTTTCTGGGAAAGTTCTAGGGTGGGGACCTTGGAAGTCAACAAGAGTGGCTGGACTGCCTGGATTTTTTGGCAATAATTGCGGAGACTCAAAGGAAAAAAATCAATTTTCCTCAAGGAGTACATGAATGCTTAGAAGAAATGAAGAAGGAGAAAATGAAATAAAAGCTCTGGAGGAAAGAACTAGAAGGAGAAAGTGAGAAATCTTACCCAAGGTATGGATACCTTACCTGTTAGCCAACTAATAGATTCCCTGAAAACTAGAGTAGATCAAACAAAAATCAATGACCCTGTGAATAGACAGTAAGAAGTAGTGGAAGAAAATAAAAAGCTTTTTTAAAAAGAAGAAAATGTAAGATATCTGATTTGAAAAAAAAATTGACCTGGAAAACCGATCAGAGGAGATAATTTAAAAATCATTGGACTCCCTGAAGACCGCAATGTTAAAAAAACCTGGATGCTATATTTTAAAAAATCATTAATGAAAATTACTCAGGCCTAACAGAACCAGAAGGAAAAAGTAAAGACAGAAAGAACCCAGATCACTTACTAAAAGAAAGCCTGAAAGGAAATTCACAGGAATGTCATAACTAAAATCTGGAGCTTCCATGTCAAAGGAAAAATACTGCAAGCATCTAAAAAGAAGCACTTCACATATCAGTGAACTGAAGTTAGGATCACAGAAGTCCTGGCAGCTTCTGCTATAAATTAGAGGAGATCTTGAAATACTACACTATTCCACAAGGCAAAAAAGACTGGCTTATAACCAAGAATAATTTAATCTGCAAAACTGAGTATAATCTTACAGGGGAAAAATGGATCTTTAATGAAATAGAAGATTTTTAAACATTTCAGATAAAAAGACCACAGCCAAAGAGGAATTTTGGAATATAAACACAAGAGTCAAGAGAGACCTCAAAAGGTAAATTTATTTGAGCAATTGGGAGGGGCTGTATGATGATGCAGCAATCCCATTCTAATAGGAGGAGAAGAAACAAGTGTCCCTTCAGAGCCTTAGTATCTTGAAAGGGTAATGAGCAAATTAAATAAGAAAAATAAAGAACATAGGGACAGATTAATTCTGTTTTCAGGGAAAAGGGAAAGAGAAGAAAGGATAAAAGGAATATAGTGGTATAGAATGGAGGAAGAAGGGGTAGAACATGCTCTATCTCATAACTGGGGTGTATAAGAAGAAGAATATGGGAATATGGAGGAAGAGGTAGCAGGAGTGGGCAGATAAACCTCATTCTTATCTGAAACAGACAAAGGATGGTTGGACACATACATTTGGTTTAGAAATACATCAGAGTCAGCAAGGAAACTAGCAGAGATGGAAGGTTAAGAGGAAAGTAATACTGGGGAGTGAAGAGTCAAAGAAAAGGAGGAAATACCCAATTGCCACTTCTGGCCTCTTCTTCCTCTGAACATTCCTCGCTGATATCACTTGATGACCCCATGTATCCTTGTCACAAGAAGCCAATTTCCTCCCGAGATGGAATATTCTCTCCCTTTATTGAAAGAGCTGCATTCCTATCACTTCACTCCAAAATGTTCGCTAGTCTTCCCTACCTTTTTAATTTGTGTCACATTCTTCCACCTTCAAACCTCTTAACACAGGCAGTGTGGTGGAAAGATCATTTGATTTAAGTCAGAGGATTTGGGTTTGAATTCTGATATTGCTATTTATTATACGTGTGACCTTGACTAAGTCACCAAAGCTTTCTTGGCCTTAATTATGTAATCTGCAAGAAGGAGCTAGACTAGATGATCTCTATGAACCCCTTCTAGCTCAAAATCAATAATGCCAATTTTCCTCTGATTCTTCACATCCCTTTCCTTCCATTTCTTCCTTGAAGCCTTCTCCTTCCATCCTTTCAAGGAATACCTCATTCTCACTTATCATCTATAGAAAAGAAATATGTTCTTCACATCTTTCATCTTTTTTTTCTAGGACAGAGACCAAATTATACATTCTGCAGAGATATGTGCTACTTGGTGCTAGAAGAAACGTAAGTGTGGCATATTCTCTGAAGGTCACTGTGAGATTCTCCTTACCCTCCATATTTGTTGAAGTCAGGTGTTGGGTTCTTTTTTCTTTCTGTTGGCTGTTTTGGCTCACTGCTATGGAAAATGATTTGTTATATCCGTTGGTTGTACCGAGGGGTCAGTTATCAGAACTCCAGATTGAGATTCCATTTATTTGGGATGGGCCTCCCAATCCTATCTATTCAGCTGCCTTTAACTGTCATTCAGTATATTTTTTCACTCCACCCACACTCCAATGCGAAAAGAAGCAAACAGACACCAATCCAACTAACCCAAGACCTAGAAGATAGGAGCATATAATAAATATTTGCTGAATTGAATTTAATCTAATTATCTATCTTGTTTCTTCTAGGCAAAGAGTTTCAGATAATTATTTCCTTGTGCACCATCTCTCGTTGTTTGCTACTTAAAGCTGGCTTTTATAATAATATCTGCTCAGCTGCCTGACCTCTTATCCATGCAGAAATGGATAACTGGTTTCTATAGCGGTTGAAATGATAGTGTGTGTGTGTGTGTGTGTGTGTGTGTGTGTGTG